ATTAAAAATATAGGTTTTTGTGTCAGTAAGCACCTTAAGATCATTGATGGCATTATACGCTTAAAACAAATGAAATCCAGCCTATTCTTTGTCCCATCCATTTCTGGGCTTAGTTCATTCGTTGTCCACCTGCAATGTCTGTTTCGAAGGGTAGTGGAAAGGAACAAATGGTAAGTATAAATAGGGTGCAGCATGTCACCAACGATGAATTTATAAACTTCATTTTATTCGTGGTATAAAAAATAGTAAATGCAAGATCAGAAAAGGAGATGGGCTGGACATGTGATGAGAATGAGGGTTAATATGTATATATGTAAAGCAAAGTGCTAAAGAGCTGTGCCTATTGTCATTAGCTAATCAGTGTCATGTATAATTTTTGGGGCCATATAAAAAAGATAGCATTTTCACAAATGGAATTATCTCCCCGCTTACCATTGTCTTCACGTTTCCTAGCAAAAGGTTAAATTTTGGGTAGATTTTTCAGTTTTTGATTGGATAGCAGAGAAAGAATTTTTGGGTCAAAATTCTGTTAGTATATTTTTTCCTGGTAGGGACATTGTTTCTTTCATGTACTGTGGGTATTTATTAAATACTTCTGGGAATAAAAAGTTACTGGTTGAAGCTTGTTATGTAGCAAGCTTTACAGATGTGTGTATAAAAGAAACAATCCAGTAAAATTTGCTTGGATTTGAACTTTAGAGAAGTTAGTGCATACCAGATGGCTGAGTTGTTTTTTTTTTTTTTTAATATATAAATCACAATCAATGAATGGACCTCACTTTTCAAAGAAGGGAAAATCTTAAATTATAAAAATATGCTCCATCTTGTAGAAAAACAGCCCTTACCCTATGACCATTGATGAAGAGGAAGTAAAAGGACTTTTTTATTTTAGCCACAACATCTCAGAATTAACCCCCAAAAGCCTACCAGTTATATCTTAATTTAAATATACATTTTCATTAACAGCCTAACAGTCGATCTCTTTTTTTTAAACAACTCTCAGTCACAGAGATTCTTAGAATTTGTTTTCCAAAAGCACTGTGAATAAAAAAGCTTGTAATAAGGTATTGAGATTCAAGGGACTTTGTCACTATTTCCCCTCGGCCCTTTTACTTGCTCCACTAAGTATCTACTCCTTGTTTCTTCATTGCTGGGCTGCCAGCAAACAAGATTTGTATAGAGAATATTGCTGAGAGGGCCAATAGCCCCAACATAAAGGAACCTGTATCTTTTCCCAGACTTTAAACTACTCAGTCAAACATATAAGGACATAACTATGTTTCCAGGCACAGTGCCATATTCTGGAGACATAAAGATGAAAAAATAATACTAACTTTCCCTCAAGCAGTTGACAATATTAGATAGTGATATGTATACAGATAAATATAATGCAGAGTAGAATGTGATATGAGCAAAGGAAAGATTCAAGGTGCTCTAGGAAAACTTGAGGAAGGAGAGGAGGACTTTCAAGGGCAAGCTTTCATACAGGGGGTAGAGCACTTGAGCTGAAGAATTGGATTAGGCAGGCAGAGGTGTAAAGAGGCCTGGGCAAATGCATGGAAATGAGAAGGGTCAGGAGTAATGTGATAGGATCACAGAATTGGAGGGAGTCAGATGGTGGAGAATATTAAATGCTAGGTTAAGGATTTGTGTTTTGTTCTGTAGGCAGTTGGTACCAACTAAAGGTTTTTGAGTAGGGAATTGACATTGTCAGCCCTCTCCTGTAGATAGGCATATTTATTTTGAAGAGGAGAGAGATTGGAGTGAAGGAGACTAGTTTGGAGGCTCTTAGATTAGACTAGGCAAGAGGTGATGTGTCTTCTGAACTAGGATGGCGGTGGTATGAGTAGCTATAAGGATCAAATGTGAGCAGTGTTGTGGAGTCAGAATCAAAGGATTTGGCAAAAGGTGGAAGGTGAGAGAGAAGGGAGAGTCAGAAATAAATCTAAGGTTTCAAACCTAGGTAGTTGGAAGGTTAATGGTGTCATCAAAAGAAAAAGAGAATTTTGAAGAAATGGCAAATTTAAGAGGGAATTTAAGGAGTTCAGTTGCCATTTTCTTTAACCCTTCCTTGGAGAATGTAAGACAAATAAAAATTTTAAACTTTTTAATTAAAATAGAAAATACAGCAAAAACCCCTTGCCATATATGATTCTTAACTACTAATTTAATCAATCTTATATTGTATGGTAGTAGAAAAACTAACTAGGCAGAGTTACTTTTATTATATTGATAATATTATACTTTGCTCAATCATTCCACTAAGTACTAGAAAAACCAGTTGACCTATTCATACTTGGAATACCATAGATATTCTATGTATTTCAGCATGAGGAAAACTTCTTCCTTTCTTTTCTTTTGTTTTTTGTCATGTCATTTGTTAGGGTTTTGCATCCTGTTAAAAATTTTTCTAATTCTAAACGCTGTTGATGCCAGTAACACTAAACTCAAAAACACTTCAAAAGCGTCATAGCCACTACTTTGTTCTGTAGCCAAACAAAACTTTATGCATGAAATAATTAAAATTAAACTACAATTTGCATTGATTTGTATTTCTAGGTCTCAAGAGAACATTAGGAAGGAAAGTAGATGCTTTCAGTGAGATGTCAAATCCGTACTTCCATTTAAAGATTAAATACAAAGTAAAAATTCCAAAAATAATTGAAAGCGTGACTATCAGTACAATCGTTATTTTATATGTAGTTAGGGCATTTTGCTAGATGGACATAAGTGGAAAATTTATATTTATTTAAAATTTGGATCAAATTAAAATTCTGCGATGCTTAAGTTTTCACTCTTAAGTAGTATTTCTCCCTTTCCTCACCTTTGTTTAGTTCATTAACATAATTTTAGATTAATTACTGCTTAAAACATGAAATGAGATTAAAATTTTTTTTATAATATCACCTGTCTTTAAATTTAAAGATTACCCAAGAGTAGCAAGCAAGCATTACTTGTGAATAATAGGCATTGACACTGTTTCTCTCTTTTGCCCAGTCAGACTTAAAGGGTGACTGAGTACAACCAAGTTACATTATAGTCTGCTAACTTTCACCTTGGGTTCTGCAACGTTATTAGTAAGGAAGGAAGAGGAAATAGGGTCCTAAATTGTAAAGAGGAAAAAAAATTTTAAGTGGTAAGTGGATTGGAAAAATTGTTCCCACTTAAAAGTGTAATTCCTTGCATTTTAGAGACCCTTGATAAATGTTTGTTAAATTGAATTTGAAGGTGATAAATAGCAGTGGATGAGAGACTGCATGGATGGATGGGCCAAAGACTCAGTAGATGAGATGGTAAAAGTGATAGAATTGGTTCAGATTTTGTAGTATAAGATTTTGATGGACTTATGTAACCTAATGAGTAAAAATTGGATTGCATAACTTGATTTGCCTTTTAAATAGCTAAATTTAATAATAAGATAAATAAGAGAAATGTCTTCTAGGCTGTTGCCCAAGCAATGTTGGAGTTATAATCTGTTCTTTGAGACAAAGCCATGATGATCATTTTGCTCGGTGCTTAGAATGCATTATTAATGTAGAGTGTCATAATGGATTTTGCATCTTTTTTGCACTTTATTATTACTTTAAAAGTAATTCTCATAATTCCCCAAAAATGTATAAGACTAGCAAAAAAAAACCCTTTAAAATCTTGAATTTTGTTCTAGATTAAAATTATACCTTTTTTGAGAAAGATTCTTATTGCTGAAGAAGTTTAAGAAACTCCTTTTCGATTTAGCCAATAGTAACTGAATGCCTGTTGTGTGTAGTGAGATATAGCAATAGGCATTGGGAATATAAGAATGGAAAACAACACAGTTCTTGACCTCAGGGAACTTGTTTTTCTCAAACTACTAGCTAAAAGAACAGAAATACAGATATCATTCGTTTTGTTTCTTTTGTTACCTAAAAAGGAATAGCTAAATAACCCCAAAACAGAGAAGCTTTTAACAAAGTTTTGAGATTGTTGTCTGTATTCCAAATTAGTTAAAACATGCTCTTGGGACTGCCATTTTTGCTGTTACCCTAGATTTGAAAGGTAAGATAATGAATTTTGATTCCTACCTTCTCCACGGTCTCTTAAAGTCCATGGACTTTATTATTTTTTTTGTTTTTATATATGTATATGTTATTATTATTAATAGACAACAGTGAGAAGTGTCATGGTGTAATAGAGGATGAGGATTATACTCGAAGTGAGAAGAGCTAGTTGCATGGGACCTTAGACTGAGAACTGGAAGGGACCATAGAGGTCATCCCATCTGACCCTATCCTTCTATGGATGAAGAAACCAAGGTGGAGAGATGATAAGTGGCTTGACCAGGATCCCACAGGTATAAGTGGCAGAATTGGGATTCGAAGTTATATCCTCCAACTCAAAACCAAATGCTGTTCGCTGCCTCCAGTCTGGTTTTGATTGTTACTGTTGTGTGACTTGGGCAGATCACTTAGTCTCTGGGTTTGTGTTTTAAAATTGGAGGTAATGGTTGTCCTGCCCACCTTAAAAGGCTTTTGTGAAGAGTAAATTAGATAATGTATGTGAATTGGTTTTCAAAGCTGTGTACTTTTTGATTGAAGAGAACAAGTGATTCACAGATAGGGAAATCCAGGCCTTAGTTTTTTGGAGATAGGAGAAGTCTGTACTCACAGTGAATTCTCTTGCTTCTGCTTCATATGCAACACTTCTTCTGGGTACCTACATCCCTGAGTAATGGTCCTTGGTGCCTTGTAAATCTGTTTTCTAATTATAGTCATTCAGTAAAATTTAAATATGAAGGGGACGTTTTGATACTCCACCCTTCACCCCATGGCGTTCTTTGTAACAGGATTTGATCTTTGTCTTCAATACATTTTCAGTTAGAAATAATAGAGGGAGAGAAAGCACTAATTTTTCAGAATGAGCAGATAGCCAAAACTCTGCAAACGTGAAGTATGAAAGATTATTGAAAATGAAAGTGGTTTCTCTCTAATTTGATCTCTAATTGGAATTTATTTTAATTCTAGAACATGGTCCAAGACGATTCCTGGGAAAGTTGAATTCTTCTCTAGTGAGGGTTCAGACACATCTATCCCAATTCCTATAGTGCCACTACAGGGTGTGGATGACTCCTATCCACCCCAGAAGAAGTCCTTTATGATGCTCAAGTACATGCACGACCACTACTTGGACAAGTATGAATGGTTTATGAGAGCTGATGATGATGTTTACATCAAAGGAGATCGTCTGGAGAATTTTCTAAGGAGTTTGAATAGCAGTGAACCCCTCTTTCTTGGGCAGACAGGACTGGGCACAACAGAAGAGATGGGAAAATTGGCATTAGAGCCTGGTGAGAATTTCTGCATGGGTGGTCCTGGTGTGATCATGAGCCGAGAGGTGCTTCGAAGAATGGTACCACATATTGGAGAATGCTTGAGAGAAATGTATACAACCCATGAAGATGTGGAGGTGGGACGGTGTGTCCGGAGATTTGCTGGAGTACAGTGTGTCTGGTCTTATGAGGTAAGAACAAAGTTATTTAATAGTTTGTAAACATTTTTGGCGTTTAGTATTGAAATAATATGGGAAATTCATATATCCCTCTCACATTGAAAGTTCTGTTATGAAGTTATCACATGCCCTTCATATTTTTGTTTCTGGTTTGTGTTTCACTTTTTCCCCTAACAAGTTTCACATTTCTTTTTCTTATATTTAACTGAAGGATCCTCTGTTTTTCTTCCACAAGTATTGCCTTCAGTTTTTAATAATGGTGCTTGGTGTTTGTTACTTAATTCTGAAAAAGAAATTAATTCACTGTAATTGTTTCCAGCCTATAGTTATCAAATAGTGGAACATGAGAAAGGGATTTTCAGACTTGTGTAGTCAAACCATTGCATTTCACAGATAAGGAACCTGAGGCCCAAACTAGTTAAATGGCGAGTCATGACCATATCAAGAGGTCATCATAATTCAATTAAAAATTTCAAAAATTATACTGCTATATATAAGACATTCTTCTAGGCAAGGAGGAATACAGAGATAAAAGTTTTATTTCCTGTCTTCAGTGGCCTAAACATGTAAATAGGCAACATCAAATGGAAATTAAGAATATAGGAGAGGGACAAACAGAAGGGAATAAGATCTCTGTTGCTTGGCAACAGAGAGCCATTGAGAGGTTTTGAGCAACATGATGTAGCAAACTTTGATCCAACAATAATAAGTTCGATATAGAAAAATTATTTCTTCAGAAATAGTGACTAAAAATTATTTGCTTACAATGAAGTAGAAGGTCCTTTGTTCTCTAATGCATTCCTCATTCCTTCAAAAAGAAGCTGAGTTGAAACAAACTTTAAAAAATTATGACGCCTTTTATGTTTTTACTTCCAATTCAGAGATGCTATTTTACTAGAAGCGTTTTTGAAAAATGGGGTACTTTTCTCCTAAGTAATAATGTATGCAAGGAAAGGAAATTACATAATTAAGGGTACATTAATATGTAGCAAACAGTTAATTTTCATTTGAGATAAATTTGCCCAAGATCATGGAAGCATTTTATTCTTGCCAATGTATGCTTTTAAATTTCTTCTAATCAGAGTTTGTTCTGGTTGAAATTTTAGAGATATGCACATTTTCAGTGATGCAGGGAGTATCCTTTGTTTTCATTTCAATTTATAAAATCACTAAGTTATGTAGTAAAGACAAGACTTGATCAGAGTGCACACTTTGATCTCTTCCCCCTTCAATTGCATTGGCATTAAGCTAAATATGTGTAAGGGGTCTTATTTTTCAAAGATAAAAGATAGCTAAGAAAGTCCGTGAGCAAACACAGCTGTTTTGAGGATTTTATGCAATGGTAAGCAGCTGTCTTATGGATTCTATATTTCTGGCTTTCTATTAAAACAGAAGTATTTTCCATGCTTAATTATATGAATGGAAGTTCAGGATGTAATATTCTGAAATTTTTTAAAACTAAAATTGTTAAACTAATTTTTGTATTTTGTTTTTACATCACCATTATTTCCTAATGTATCTCTCCACCCCTACCCCCAAGAGTCTCGTATAACACAGAATTTAAAAATGGGAAAAATAGTTTAGCAAAACTAATCAACATTGAAATTGTGACATTTTTCACATACTCCTTCATATCTATAAAGAAATGAGGGGAAGTATCTTCTCATATCCCTCCTTTGAGGATAATTTTGGTCATAATTTCTCAACATTTAGTTTGTGTTGCTGTTCTTTCCCATTTACGTTGTTCTTGTTACAATGCACATTGTTTTCCTAATTCTTCTTACTTGACTTTGCATCAGTTCATATAGGTCTTCTTGTGCTTCCTTGTAATCATCATCTTTATTTTTTCTTTCAGCATGTTCTGTTATTCATGTCCCATAGTTTGTTTAGCCTCTCCCCAGTTGACGGGCATATACTTTGTTTCTAGCTTTTTGCTGCTACAGATGTGCTGCTATGACTATTTTGGTGCCTTTCTGTTTGTCACTGATCTCCTTGGGAGATATGCTCAGCAAAGAAATCTTTGAATCAAAAAATAGGTATTGTTAGCAGCTTTCTTAGTTTAATTCCAAATTGCTTTACAGAATTATTGAACCAATTTGTAGCTTTTATCAGCCAGTCGTTAGTGTGCCTGTTTTTTTCCACAACTCCTCCGACACTGACTGTAAATTGTCACCTTTGACAATTGTCTCAATGTGAATTGAAAGTTGTGGATTATTTTAATTAACCATTTCTCTTATTGTTAGTTACTTGGAGCATTCTTTCATTAGATTGTTAATAGTTTAAGATCCTTGTGAGAACTGTTCATTCATATCCTTTGACTGCTTATCTTTGAGGGGGTTTCTGTTCTTATATTTCTGTTAGTTGCCTTTTTATCTTGAATGTCGGATCCTTGTTAGAGATGTTTGATAAAAAATTTTTTACTCAATTTCTTTCTTCCTTTCTTGTCCTAATTGCATTAATTTTGCTGATGCAAAAAGCTTTTAAATTTTATGTAATTAAAATTATTTTATCTTTTGTAACCACTTCTAACTCTTGTCTGGTTAAGAATTCACCCTTGTAAGAGTATTATAAATGTGCTTCTTTGTAGTGTCTGTCATATGTGTTTGTTTTGATGTACACTTTAAATGTTAGTATACTTGTGGCCACTTTCTTTTAGATGAATGCCAGAATAGGGAGGTTAGACTTAATGTTTTCAATGTTCTTTTTAACATTAACAAAAGAGTTGGTCCTGAAACTCGTAGATATCTCCTGGGCACTCTGTTTCTCAGATGTTGTGAGATCTTCATCCTACCTAACGTCCTGAGAACTGACTGTAAGTATCATTTCTGGAAACCTGGAAAGAAGATTCAATATCAGAGTGATATTGAGGTTACTTTATCAGATGAAAGTGCAAAGGCCTAAGAAAATTGTGGTTGAAAATGGCGGCAGCAGAATTGGATTTTCATTGGAGTCTGGGTTGACTAGCAATGCCATTGTTGCTTTTTGGATATTTGGAAGTTAGTGGCATGGTGAATAGCAGCAGAATACTAAGTTCAAGAGCCTCTCCAGCACTTAGCTGACTGGAGACCATAGACAAAACTCTGGCCTCTTGGTCTGAAATGTGGCACTCGAGGAAGTATTTTCACAATTACTTTCTTGGCATCCTTTGTCACTTGTATTATATTTTTAAGGTATCTAGAAAAAAGCTATAGAGTAAGGTTGGATAATGAGAGTTGCTATTTAGAGTTCTTATTTTAACTGAGGTGTGGTATTCAAGACTTTTATCATCAATGAAGGATGTTACATGCATTGTTTTTTAAAATTTTTTCTCTGTAATATAAGAAAAAAATACCTTCTTCCTCTCAGCTCTGTAGGAAGGGAATAGCACCAGTCAAACTCTGCTTTACACAGCAATGCTGTCTTAATTGCATGGTGTTTTATATGCATCCTAAGGGCAAAGATTTTGTGTTTTGCAGTGGCCTGAACATGCGTGCTCAGATTTTTGTTAAATCAGTCAGCAAGCATTTATTAAGCATATACTGTGTGCTGAGCACTGTGCTGTGATGATACTGAGACAAAGTGGAATAGTCCTGTTCTTGAGGAGCTTGCAGTCTTGCTGGGGGAGCAGCATGTACATATATAGACATATGCAATAATCTGGTGTGTGGCTGAGATCAGGAAAGGCTTTATGGAGAAGGTAGCACTTGAACTGAAACCTGAAGGAAGCCAGAGAAACTAGAAAACTGAAGAGACGAAGAAGTGTGTTCTGGGCATAGAAGACAGATAATGCAAAGGCATAGAATAATGTATAAGGAAAGAAAGCAGTATCACTGGATTGTCTATAGTGTGAATGAAGGGCAATAATATGTAATTAGGCTGGATAGCTTGGTTGGCCAGATTGTGCAGAGCTTTAAATGCCAAACAGGAGTTTGTATTTACTCCTATAAGTAATAGAGAACCACCAGAGTTCGAGTAGGGAAGTGACATGGTCAGACCTATGCTTAAGAAAAATCGCTGTGGTAGCTGAATAGAGGATGGATTGGAATGTGGAGATATTAGAGGCTAGGAGACCAATTTAGGAGGCCATTTGAAATGTATAAACTTTGAAAGTCTAAACTTTAGACTCTTCTAACAATCCAAGTGAAAGTGATAAGGGCTTGAATAAGAATATGGCTATGTGAGTGGAGAGAAGGGGATGGAGATATATATATAGATATAGACATATCCATATATGGATATGGATATATATATGTATATACATGCAAGATAGATTGTAGAATTGGAAATTATAAGATTTGACCACTAGGAGGTAAGTAGGATGAGTGGGTGACTTTGAGATCCAGTAGGTGGTAGTGATATGAAACTGGAGCTGAAGAGAGAGGCTAGTGCTAGTCTATAGATCTAGAAGTCATCGGCATGGTGATGATAATTAAACCCATGGAAGCTGATAAAGTCATTGAGATAGTGTAGAGGGATAGGGCCCAGGACACAGCCTTGGGGTTACATCCACAGTTAAGGGTGGAATTTGGAATGTGAACCAGCAAAGGAAACAGGAGTGTTAAGACAGGTAGAAGGAAAACTAGGAAGGCATATTTTCATGAAAACCCAGAGAAGGGAAAGTATACAGGAGGAGAGTAGTATGGTCAGTAGTGTTACATGCTGCAGGTTTAGAAGGATGAGGAGAGAGACAGACAGACAGACAAACACCATCAGTTCTGGCATTTGAGAGTTGACTGGTAACTTTTGGGAGAGCAGTTTCTGTTGAGTGAGGTTGGGAGCCAGATGTCAGGGGGTTGAGAAGTAAGTGAGAGGAAAGGAAATAGGAAATATAAGAATTAATCTCCTGACTCCTAAACCAGTGTGGTTTTTTTGTTGTTGTTTTTTATTTGTTTGGTTGGTTTTGTTTTGTTTTGTTTTGTTTTTTTGGTGAGGCAGTTGAGGTTAAGTGACTTGCTTAGAGTCACACAGCTAGTGAATGTTATGTGTCTGAGGCTGGATTTGAACTCAGGTCCTCTTGACTCCAAGGCCGGTGC